AAGAGGACACGGTGGGTGGCGGTGGGAGCGAGAGGAGATAAGGATTGCCACTCGAGCTGGCAGAAACGTGTAACGGACCAATGACGCGCGAGAAATCCTCTGCAATCTGTTTCCTGTGATGCCACCGACTGCGACTTGTAACTCGGGGTCGGGGAGAATTTTGGGGGTGGAATACATTGGCAAGATACGCCGCGTTTGGGGAACAATTTCTGAATAATTCTTGCGAGACGGTGGCTCTGATTGAATTTCGCGTTATTGCTTGCAAATAGCGGCGAATCGTACCTAGATTCTCGTGTGTTTGTTAATACTTTCCGACAAGATAAATTATAATGTTTCAGGCATTATTCACGTGCAAATTATAAGGAATTTTCTTATCGACGTTGCTCAAAGAATTTAACCGATTAATATTCTTCGTGCTTCCTGTCTGTTTTCATTCATTATTTTCCATTGCACGCTCATTAGCTGTGCTCAAAGAAGTGTCTTGGAACAATTAGTCGAAGCATTCTTTTGTTTATTACTTTGACTACGGCGTTCGATCATGAAACTGCAGCTTTCTTGCCAGTCGAAATTAATATTGCTTTCATTAACGGCATATTTAATCGAAGACTAATTGCATTTTGTACGAAAAGGGTAATTTTTAATTACAGCCTCGTCCCGGTCCAATATTATGTGCTATCCTGTTACGTGAAACTTTGCAAAGCGAAATTAAAATATATTATAGAACTTCAATTTTGCAAATTTACTTGAAGCATTTAATTGCAGCTAGTATCGTGTCGTTCAAATATATTTATTTGTACATCCGGTAGTATATACCTCGAATTGCATCATATTTTTGCGGAAATATCGAATTACAGTTTTTAATGAAAGTCGCGTTTAACTCCTGATGATATCGATATACATGCAAATTTAGCTGCAATTTACTAATGAATGTAGCATTTACAATTATTTATTCGCGTGAAGTTACATTAGCCGTGCACTGGATGTTAAATAAAATTTCAGGATAATTTTACACATAAATTTTGTACTCGGAATAATATAGAAGTCCATGTTTACAATTAACCCTGTTTAACCTCGTTCCTGAATTATAATCGTTTTAATGCTGCTGTTAATTATATCGTGCGTTTATAGAAAATTATATTAGTGGAAATGGGGGACGATTATTAAAATATTAGTTGTATACAGGGTACCCTTTTTCAGCCACCCTTGGGAAAAATTTTAATGGGAGATTCTAGAAGCTAAAATGAAACGAAAATCAAGAATATCAATTTCTTGAATGACAATTCGTTAAAAAGTTATTAACAAAATTAAATTAAAAAATTTTAAATCAATCTGAAAAAATTATGTTTACTTGCGGGAGTCAATTACAATCATTTTTGGTGAATAGACAAACCTCCGAAATCCTACTCAGTTTCGAGACAAAAATTTGAATAGGTGCTGACTTTTATGGCGAAATTAAAAAATTTTAAATCAATCTGAAAAAATTATATTTAGTTGCAAGGGTCAATTACAATCATTTTTGGTGAATAGACATACCCCAGAATTCCTACTCAGTTTCGAGAAAAAAATTTGAATAGGTGCTGACTTTTATGGCGAAATTAAAAAATTTCAAATCGTTCTAAAAAAATTATATTTAGTTGCAAGGGTCAATTACAATCATTTTTGGTGAATAGACATACCCCCGAAATCCTACTCAGTTTCGAGAAAAAATTTTGAATAGATGCTTACATTTTTCGGCGAAATTAAAAAATTTCAAATCCTTCTAAAAAAATTATTTTTAGTTGCAAGGGTCAATTACGATCATTTTAGGTGAATAGACATACCCCCGAGATCCTACGCATTTTTGAGAAAGAAATTCTTTAAAAAAAAACTTTTTAACGAAGCCTCAATCAACAAATTGGTATTCTCTATTTTCGTCTTGTTTTGGCCTCTAGTATCACCCATTAAAATTTTCCCCAGGGTTGATCGAACACCCTGTATATTTCAGAAGAATTCTAATTATTTATGTCAGTTGTTATTAAGACTGATTTCAATTTTTCTTTAGAAAACTAACCAGACTTTCGCATGTACGGAACAGCAAGAACAGTCTGCATAATAATGAACATCCGAGGAAAGAATTTCCCGGTTGCTCCTGCTGGTTTTCCACGTTTTAATGAACATCCTCCACGGAGCGTAATGAACTTGACCGAACTTTATCGTCGCGAGTTCATCAGCGAATTTAATCGGAGGATAGTGAAGCGGATAACCGATCAGGGGTGAACAATAGGGTTGCCAAGTTACCTCGCCGGGGTATTAACGTGACGTTAGGATAAGTCAAGTTCCAGTGGTTGCGTGGCACACAAGCCAGGGAAATTGTTCGATGCTTAAATTTTCCATCCGGCTGATGAAAATCTGGAAGTTTTAACGATAACGACCGAACGAGTAATCTGTTCGTTAAAAGCCAGCCGAACGTGCGATTATTTCATAAGGGTAATCGCTCGTTCCTCGAAGAATCCTCGAAGACGTGGAAGACGCTTCTCAATTAAATTTTCCACGACGTAAAAATGGAAATTTACATCCACGTAATTATATTATTACTAAAAATAATTGGTATAAAAATTCACGTAATAACGAAATTCTGAAAAATAGGAATTAATTTTATATTCCGATTCCCTTTCAAATTTCACGAAATATAATTAATATTACAATATACACGTCCACGTTGCTCCGTCGAAACGTCGAACGCCAGAACGGGATTGAAATTCCATTGGTAATTTAGAGGGACCTGAACCTTGACCCGAACAGATTTCGTTCGTTAAATTAAAGTTACATGCAGCGAAAGCCTTGCCCGACCTTAATGCGCCTAATTTGTCACGATCGCGGGAGTAAGTCGAAGGCAGAATTTATTTATCGAAGAAATGTCACCGTTGGAAAATGGGGTGGACGAGAACCGATTTATTAAGGTCAATCCGTTTCCAATATCAAACATCCGTAGTGTTAAATGCGACCGAAATTTAATCCGTTATTCGACAAGAAAACGTACGAAAATGGGACCGAAAAACTAAATTTTTAAGCTCACGGTAAAACGATTTAATTTTTAAATTTCAGAGAAATTTTAATTAAAGAGATTTTCCTCGATATTTCACGCCACTTTCTAGCTACTTTGTTAGAAAGGTAATTTCCATCTCCGCGCGAAAAATGGATTTGTCTTGGCAAAAATGTTTCGAAATTTTCGGAATTTCCGAGGTCTTTCGTTTTTTCTCTCACGAAATTAAATATTGTTCCCGGGCACACGGAACTCTGACCGTAAAAAAAACCATTATAAATACCGATTCGGTTACCTTTTGTAAACAGCAACGCGAAAGGTAATTATTTCTCGGTTGAATTTCTGTTTTTAACAAAATTCGCCGTGCTCTATAGGGTGAGGTGAACGAAAGGGGAGGGGAGAGGGTCGTTGAGAGTTTAAAAAAGTAAGGTCGTTAGCAAGAGGTACGACCGAAATGTAAAAGCGGCGAGAACAGACAGAGGGGCAACTTGGTTCGGATCTAATTCTGCCGCGGTACACAGAACTTCGGCTCTCGAAACGTCGTGGAATACGTAAAATGCCCGTCCGTTTTTCTCAAGCAGGCCGAGGTTAACCCGTTTTACTGTCGCGAAAGTTCTTATGATAATCGTGGCCGAAACTTTTTCGGCGCGCTCTCGCTCGGACACGTTGCGATCAGCTTCGACCGCTTCTTCATCGTTCTGAATTTCAATTCTCGCGCCTTTCTCGCGTCGAACATAACCTCTACGCGCGTTAGACAGCGCCATTATACATATTTTTACCACTTAAATCAGCTGCAGTTAATTACAATCACTATTGGCCACTGTAATCGTAAAAATCAATTGCAACAATTACGATTCGTCGATCGCAATGGCAAATTAACAATCGAATATTAAGAATTAAATTTTCCTTTCAGTTGCAATTGAAAACTCACACTTCCATTTTAAATAAAAAGACAGGTTACTATATTTCAAATTGAAGTATGAGTTTTCAATTGCAATTGAAAGGTAAAAATTCTTAATATTGATATACAGAGTGTTCGGTCATTCCTGGGAAAAATTTTAATGGGAGGTTCTAGAGGCCAAAATAAGACGAAAATCAGAAATATCAATTTCTTGACTGAGGCTTCGTTAAAAAGTTATTAAAAAATTAAATTAAAAAATTTCAAATCGTTCTAAAAAAATTATCGTTGGTTGCAGGGGTCAATTACAATCATTTTTGGTGAATAGACATACCCCCAAAATCCTACGCAATTTCGAGAAAAAAATTCCTTACCGAAAATGTAATGTCTGACTATACATTGATATGTTTCCCTGAAATTTTTCGGCGAAAAAAAAAGTTTCAAATCGTTCTAAAAAAATTATCACTGGTTGCAGGGGTCCATTACAATCATTTTTGGTCAATATACATACCCCCAAAATCCTACGCACTTTCGAGAAAAAAATTCTTTACTGAAAATCTAATGTCTGACTGTTTATTGATGTTTCCCTGAAATTCTTCGGCGAAAAAAAATTTCAAATCGTTCTGGAAAAATTATTTTCAATTGTGGGGGTTAATTACAATCGTTTTTTATCATTAGACATACCTTCGAAATCCTACCCATTTTCGAGAAAAAAATTGTAGAAGGTGTGAAATTTTTCGACTAAATTAAAAAATTTCAAATCGTTCTGGATAAATTATTTTCGGTTGCATCTTTTTAATTAAAATTTAAGTAAGAGTTCTCAATCGCACTAAAATGAAAATAAACTGATAAATATACAAAATTGAAGACTTCCACGTATCTTTTCTGACGTCTATTTTATTGTTTTTATATTTCGATTAGAAGTGTGATTGGGTATCGATATTTGTTAAGGAATGAATAATGACTGTACGAGAAATACATACAAATATCGAACCACTTCAGTCGAGGGTGTAAATTAATTATTTATCCGTGTTACCGTATTCCCAACGACTGATGGCTTCTTTCTGCCTTCTGTTTCAGATCTCTTCCATCACCACTTTCTGTAAGGTGAGTAGCTACTTGTCTACCCGATATATTGGATATTGAATCGCCTGCTTTTGAACGCGGGGAACAATGCATCCGTCTACTCTGTATTCTCGTCCTTTTTACATGCCATGCACAGGACGTATCTCGAGGAAATACAAATATTGAATAAGAGATCAGATACCCGCTCGGAGATTGTTCTGCAATGATTACGTTCCTAGGTAAAGGTTCGACTACGATGTTTCTGCATCAAAACGAACGTCTGGTTTTACCGATATATAGATACGCTCACTCGTTACTCGAATGAATAATGTATTCTTGCTCCTTAATAACGAATCAAAATCTAGATATTTAATGGGAACATTTTATATTGCAAACACAATTACATACGTATGGGGAGCTCTTGTTAAAAATTTCTGAAGCACAGTCTTCGATGCATCAAAATTATTTGTTGCATGAATTATTTCATCAGTCGATATTCGAATTGAACAACGAGTGACTCAATCTTCAGAGTTAGTGTCTCCTAATTGAACTTATAAAATAGTTAATTTTATAATTTGGAATATCGATTAAAACAAAATAGGTGGGTGATATGTTTACGAATTATGATACTCAGAAATAGTGGAAGAGTGACAGAGTAAATGTGTTCATCTTGTTTATTAAATGTAATAAGAAGGATTGATCATTTTTCATCTAACAGGTTTATAGCATGCTATTTCGTAGAGACGAGAAATCTACACTGATTAATCTACAAGTGTTCGACCAAATGAAATTAGAATTCTATTTCCATGGATTTTAGTAAAGAAAGATGGCTCGATTCTTGAAACTTCTTTAATTAACAGGTTTATAGCATACTGTTTCGAAGAGACAAGAAATCTACACTGATTAATCTACAAATGTTCAACCAAGTAGAAATTAGAATTCTATTTCCATGAATTTTAGTAAAGAAAGGGGGTTCGATTCTAAACACATTTTCGACTAACTAATTTATAGCACAGTGTTTCGTAGAGGCCAAAAATATCTACATCGATAAATCTACAAATGTTCGTCCAAGTAGAAGTTGGAATTCCATTTCCATGGATTAATATTTCAGCAAAGAAAAGGGTCTCGATTCTTGAAACAGCGAGTAGAAAATGGCGCCGTACGAAACGAAAGGATCGATCGCATCCCCCCAGTGTCTTGACATAAATGTAAGAATTAATCGAGAGTTAAAAGCATCAGGTTCGTACCGTCTGGAATATCGGTTTGACATATTTTCCGCCGAACCGTCGTCGATGGAAACGCAGCCTCGCGGGGGAAAGGTCGCGGCGGAACCGGAGACAATCGGGCTCGCGAGCAATAACTGGGAAATATATTCTCGATCACGCGATAAGATTCCTCCGGTTCGATAGGAGAACGAAGATGGCAGTCGATCTGTTTCTATTTATACCGTAGTTCCTCGTCTTTTCCGCGTATCGAGCGCACTTGACCCGGAGACGAGCGATCCGCGAGAGGAAGGAAAATAATCGTTAGCGGAACGTGGAACTTCGTGGAAATAAAAGGTTAACGAAGAGAGGACCGAACGATCGAAGGAGCGTCTCGAGTTGTGTCCTGAAGGGACGAGAGGGATAAGAGGTCGCGGACACGAGGAGACGGACGACCGGAATCCTGTTAAAAATGGCCGCCATTTCTCGAAGGCACCAGAAAGTTTCGACTCTCGCGTCTTCCACGGTGCTCCTTTGAGGCATAGAATGACAAAAGTCCGATATAAGTCGCGTCGAGGGCGGAATCTCGTTCCGTGGCGTCTTCGACGACGGGTGTCCTTGTTTCCACGGTCTCGTATTTTACTGTAAATCGGTTTGTATCTCCTTCGAAGGTCGTCGATATCGAATACCATACGAATCTAACCTGGAAAAGGATTTGTAATTTGCACGCGATCAATGTGCATGCTTGTAAATATTACGGCGAATTTGAAGGAGAATTTTTTGCTCGCTCGAGAACGTGCAAAAATCACGCGACCTGCGGTGGTCCAGAAAAAAGCTGTGTGCCGTTCCAGGGCTGAAAGTTCTAATTTCGCTTCGACGCCGAATTGCACGCGAGTGTTTACACGGGAATAGAAAATTGCAGAAACGAGGTATTCGAGAAGGGAAGAGCAAACTCAACAAAAAGTTCATACAGGTTTAGAATTACATTACGATTGTAAAAGAAGTTGAATTTGTGAAAAGTTGTAAGAAAATCAACGTTGACCAGCATATCCATTCGCGTTTCGTTCTTTTCCTTTTTCGAATTGGCTCAAAGCAGTTTTCATTTGGACAAAATGCGAAAGAGAAATGCCAGGCGCGTACAAAAAAAAAATTGTACGAGCAAAGGATGGGACAGAATCGCAGAGAGAGAATCTGGCTAAAAATGGCGATCATTTATTCAGCCGACCGAGAACTTCCCTCAGGGTTTTCGACTCCGAACCTTTCCGCGGGTGTTTCATTATTAATTTTTCGTTGGAGGCTTAACGACGCTAAACTCTTGTCTCCTCGCCGTGGGACCGCGTTCTTTCGAAATACTATTAAAATCTTATTTGATATTCCGTTTTCCTTTTGTCGCCGAGGCACACGCCATTTCTTTCGTCCGTCGTTTGTAATCTTTCGTGTAATTATTCGTGGCTCGATGTAACATACTTGGATGGAAACGAACGATGAAAAGAACTCGCTGAGGTATTTATTGAAATATCGAGATTTTTAGAATGGTTCACACTGGTACAGTTCGGATTATCCGGCACTCGGTTATCCGAATAACAATAATAGAAAATTTTCAAATCGTTCTGGACAAATTATTTTTAGTTTCAGGGTCCAATTACAATCATTTTTGGTGATTAGATATATCCCCAAAATCGTACGCATTTTCGGGGAAAAAATTCAAGAATGTGCCTAAATTTTTCGGCGAAAAAAAAAATTTTCAAATCGTTCTGGAAAAATTATATTTAGTTACAGGAGTCAAATATAATCATTTTTAGTGAATAGACATACCCTCGAATTCCTATTCACTTTCGAGAAAAAAATTCAGTAAGTGGACAAATTTTTCGTCGAAATTAAAAAACTTCAAACCATTGTAAAAAAATTATTGTTAGTTGCAGGGCCCAATTACAATCATTTTTGGTGAATATACATACCCCCGAAATCCTACACACTTTCGAGAAAAAAATTCCTTACCAAAAATATACTGTCTGACCATAGCATTGATATGTTTCACTGAAATTTCATGCGTATCTTTAAAACATCATAACTTTTGAACGGATTTTAGGATTTCAATGTTTCAAGAGGCAAACGACGCGTATTTCAATGAAGAATATGTAGAAAGTAATATAATTTTCCTGCATCAACGTTTCCAGGAATAAATTCTTTCGCGAAAGATGAATGAAAGTTTATTTAATAGAACGTTCGATCGTATCATTAAAATTGTCTGTCCCGGTTTAAATAATTAAACCGTATAGAAGTCTTGAATATATTATTCCGCGTCTGTAACTCGTTCCGTTCGTGTAAACGGTTTTAATTTCGCGGCGAAAAATAGCCGGTGACGCGTTCGCGAAACTGACGCAGCCACGCGCGAACGAGCGGCTACGAGTTTACAATGGACTAAATTAAATCAAAATGTAAATCGATCTCGCGTTGAACCGGTGCCTGGACAGAAGTCGAAAACAGAGGAAGTGGTTTAGAAAGCAAAGTGTGGACAAAAGGACGATGAAAATATGAAATATCGCGGGGTGAGCGTCGCTGTTGTTTGTTCTCAATATGATATCGCTGTTGTTTCAGCCACGAAGAAAATCACCATTGTATTTTCAACGTTCGGAAAGGATTGCAGTTCCTTTGCGAAGTGACTGAGAAAAATCGCGAATATAAGTCGCTTCGATTCCGTCGTAAAGAAAATGTTACCGCTAGAATGTCGGCAATTTAAGGTGGTTTACGCGAGAGATAAATTAATAGCGTCATTTAACGGATAAATGGGATCTAGTTAAAACCTTAACGTATCTCGTACATTATATATCCTAAGAGATTCGTTTCGTGTTCGCGTAGAAGCCGCGGTACTAAATTAGTCGGGAAAATTCCTGAAAACCCGTTGAAAGTTTTATTTCGACGAAACATCCGAACGTCGCCGGTCGAATTTCGAGTGTGCACGATTCTCAAAATTAAACGTGGCATTAATAATCGACTCGACTTCACAGTTGTCGGTTAATACAAGAAAAATGAAATGTTTCACCAGCATCTTCGAAGAAATTTTCTTTATTCGACTGTTTTCGCGACAGCGTCTCGCTCGAAGCGAACGGATGTCAAAGTGGAATAAACCGGAGTAGTTCGTCGCGTTAAATATTAATTTTCTTAAAATAGCTTACGATCCCCCGGGGCGTGTAGCGCTTCGGAGTAATTTTCAGTTAGCAGCCGCCGCTGATATCCGCGTCGCGATGCTTCGAGGCAAAAGAAACGTTCAAAGCGTCGGTCGTTCTTAAGGAAATGGTAGAAAGTCAAGCCTGACGCGTCTCTCCTGCACTTGACTGCTTTCTCGTACACCGGGACCCGAGAAAGAAAATTCTGACACGCAAATAAAAACGCCACCCCCTTCGTTTCGTATCTCGAATTCGCAGCGCTCCGCAACGGAAACCTTCAACGCGGTGAAACGGTTTCCTATTCGATAATGGACTATTCCGAATGCGAATGACTCTCGTTTCGCGTCTAATTACACCGTCGATATTTCTTATTTAAAAATCGTTGAAATACTTAAATGCACGATTTATTGCAGAACTTGTTTCGAAATCCTTCCTATGTTACGATAGAAATAAAATAAATGGAATTATACAGGGTGTTCAGCCACACCTGGGAAAAATTTTAATGGGAAATTCTACAAGCCAAAATAAAACGAAAATCAAGAATATCAATTTCTTGGCTGAGGCTTCACTAAAAAGTTATTAAAAAATTTCAAATCATTCTGAAAAAATTATTATTGGTTGCAGGGGTCAATTACAATCATTTTTGGTGAATAGACATACCCTCAAAATCCTA